TCTTCCTACCTCTGCTTCCTGCATAGCTGAGATTATAAGCATATGTGGCCAGTCAGGTTTTTTGAGATAGAGATCTGGTTAACTATTTTTGTCTGGGCTTACCTGGAACCACCATCAACTCATCTTTGCTGCCTTTGTAGTTGGGATTACAGGCAAGGCTGCAACATTTTTACGGCTAAATATTTTCTACATGAAGTCTTTTACGGAAAGGTCTACTACTCTTCAGAAGTTGATACAGAATGCTCATATTAAAAAAACATTTGTACCTTAGCCAAGGTATTTTGGTTATTTAAGGGCCAAAAAGATTTTGGGTAGAACAGTTTCTTCTATAAGGTATAGAAAAATAGAAACCATTTATTGAAATTTAGTTTATGTAAAATACACACAATAACTTAATTGACCTTTACAACAACTATTACATGGATATTTTTTTTTAATCACTGTTTTATAAATCAGAAAATAGTTTTAAAATGCCCCAGGTCCAAAGATAGTGAGTGGCTTTCAGATTACATAACTACAAAACATATAACTCCACATCTCTAGTTTTAAAAAAGAATAGCCGGGCGCTGGTGGCTCACGCCTGTAATCCTAGCTACTCAGGATGCTGAGATCTGAGGATCGCGGTTCAAAGCCAGCCTGGGCAGGAGAGACTGTGAGACTCCTATCTCCAATAAACCATCAGAAAACCGGAAGTGGCGCTGTAGCTCAAGTGGTAGAGCGCTCACCTTGAGCTGAGGGACAGCGCCCAGGCCCAGAGTTCAAGCCCCACGACCGACAAAAAAAAAAAAAGAAAAAAGAATAAAATTTATGAGAGTACTATCAATGCTAGCATCTATAAGCTGCTTTCTACATTGGCAAGTTTGGATTAGGCAAGATGCTCTTATTTGATAAGCATCTCATATATAAAATATGAAAAGAGAAACACTAATATCTGAAATGTAATTTGTGTTCAAGAGAAAAACATAGTAATCCATCCAAACATAGTAATCCACCTACTTTCCATATTCAACATCCTCTAATCTACCATATCTCATACAGATTTCTGTTCTCTACCTATATTTGCTCTATTTAAATTCATTCATCTCACCATAGCCAGGGTGTTCCTTAAAAAAAAAAGTGATTCTATTCTCACAAGTTCAAAATCCATATAAAGAACAGAAATCCTCTGGGATTTAGCCCTTAACCTTTTCCTCCTAAACTTCAGTTTCATCATCTATAATATGAAGATGATATACTGTTCAACACAATTGTTCCAAACTGGAAATTTGTGAAATTGAGCAATTCATGAAAAAAACCTTAGCACAGTACTTATACATATAGTTGAGATCAAGAAACACTAAGTATTACTGCTATTATTTCCTTTCTCCAAATGACCTTCACAGCCATTCTGAAAGTCTTGGATAGTTCCAAAATGTCTTAGTTCCCACTATTTATTGGTGCCAAAGACATCAACAATTATTACCATCTTAAGTAATAGTCCCCCTTCTTTTACTATCTTAAGTAATAGTCCCTCTTCTTTGGATAGCTCAGTTATGAGCTGCCTCATCTCTCTCTTGGTATTTTATCATTAACACACACACACACACACACACATATGTATACGTGTGTACACACACATATCAGAGGATTTCTTTTAGAGAATTTATTATATAGGAAAGAACATATAGAACATAAGTTTTTCTAAAAAATTGAGAAAAAATATCACAGACTTACTTGGTGCACACCACATGGGTGATAACATCTCTATGCATGTAACTGCGCTCATACATGGATGCACTGGGGAGATTATCAAGGTAGACTCTTTCAAACTCAAGAACTGAGGAGAATAAAAAAACCACTTATTTCAATAAACAAATAATTGTACATTTTGTATTTAGAATATTTTAAATTCTAGTTTGCATTTTACTGTAGGTTTTACTTTCTCTCAATATACATATATAAGGATTTATTCATTTAAATGCAGTATCTGTTGTCAGAAAACTAACTAGCATCAATATTCAGTCAGTTATGACAGGTTCCCTAGGTACTATAATATACATGCTTAACTGTTCCAAAGATTTAAGAACTGAGTGGTTTTGGCTTAATATAGTTTTCAAAACATTAGAAAGTTCATGAAAATAGCATGATCATGTTCCTAAACAATGTAGATCCTAGGAACTAGTGCTGATTTAAGAGGTCAATGACTATCTGTGGATGTAGAGTCATACATTTACCTATCATGTCTTGTGAAAGTGTATATACAAAGGTCTAATACTCAAAGGCCATGTTTGAATGAATAGCCCTATTTCTAGAAAGCCTATTAAATACCTATTCTTTTACACCAAATTTTGTCCCTCCCCTTATCCTTTTCTTTTGTGGTACTAGGATTGACCCCAGTGCCTTACACGTGCTAGGCAAGTGCTCTACCAATAAGCCAAAATCCTAGCCCTAGATACAAATTTTGACACTATTTAAAAAGAATTCTTCCATGAATTTTATGTTAGGTGAAAACAGGAGTATTATAGTTGAGACTAGCCCAGGCATAAAAGAACCTTTCTCAAACCATAGCTGGGTACAATGGCTAGTGCCTGTCATTACAAGATGTGTGACAGTGAGGCTTGGAGGATAGGGGTTCTAGGCCAGTTGGGCAGAAAAGTCCTCCAGACTTACTGTTGGAAGCTGGATATTGTGATCCTAGCAAAGGCAAGAAGCCTAAAGTAGGTATTACAGCTCAGATACGAACATGCAGAAAGTTGAGATCCTATTCTAAAAATAACCAATGAAAAAGGACCAGAGGCATGGCTCAGTGGTACTGAACCAACTTAGCAAGCCTGAGATCCTGAATTCAAATCCTAGTACAACTATCACCACTAAAAAAGAAAAATTCTTACATTGTTTCTAGTTTTTCTTCTCCAAGCAGAATATACTGTTGATTGACTTAAAAACCCGAAAGCACCTTATTAAGAATATTGTTTAGGGGCTGGGAAGGTGGCTCAGTGGTAGAGCGCTTGCCTTGCATGCCAGAGGCCCTGGGTTCGATTCCTCAGCACCACATAAGCAAAAACAAAAAAAGCTGGAAGTGGCGCTGTGGCTCAAGTGGTAGAGTGCTAGCCTTGAGCTGAAGAGCTGAGGGATAGCGCCCAGGCCCAGAGTTCAGGCCCCACTACCAAAACCCCCCCCCCCGCAAAAAATATTGTTTATACTTACTTCCTAATAGCATTTATTTTTGGGTTTTCCCATTTTCATTTCTTTTAGTACAAAAATGCATGTCAAAATACTTAAGTGCAGTAAGATAATTAAGCAACATCATAAGCACTATAGTTCTCATAGACATATTTATGCACTGGAGCAAAACAGGCATAATTCCTGTCCTTACATGTTTAGTCTTTAAAGTTTCAATTAGAAAGCCAATGAATATACAATTATAAACAGTAGCAAGTGCCACAAAGGAAAAGGTTGATACGGAAACATCCAACAGGAGGATCAGAAAGTTAAAAAAAAAAAAGATAATATATGGGTGAAATTTCTAAAAAAAAAATCGGCTTTGTCAATTTGAATCCACAAAAATGTAAAGGCTACCTGCCTTCACATATACTCAGTGTCACAAACCTTACCTCAGAGTTAAGATAAATGTGTTTCTGAAACTCAGCCAAGACTGGGGAAGTCACATGCTTCTCAGATGAGGTGACATAAAGGCTAAGGGTTAAGTGGAATTCAATACAGTGGAAAAATAAATTATTCTAGGTAAAGATAAGTAATATTTTAGAAGAAAGAGTACATGGCCCATTCTCAAGTTGCTTAGTATGGCTGGAACACAAAACAAAGGATTGGGAGATAAGGCTAATGAGAGATGTACTGGGGAGGTAGACATCAGATCATTAGCTAGGGAGTTTGAGCTTTGCTTTGAAAATAAAAATCACTGAAGAGTATTAATTAGGGGAAGGATGATAAGTTCATATTTGAGCTTTAGAAAGATCATGTTTTAACAGTCTTAAGTGTTTCACTAAAGAACATTTTACAGAAACACAAGAGAAATAAGAAAACTTACCTTTTTTTCCCCTTAAAAATATTTTACTCCACATTAAGTGGCAAAATACTCGTGTCTCAGGAATTTTGATCTGGAAACCACAGACCTCAGGTTTGGAGGAAAACATTTGTGACCCAAAAGGCTTAAGTCACTTTCCCAACATCTTGAAAACTCATGGAGTAAGGAGTTTAAAATTCTTTCCTAATTGTTTGATTTTAAATTTGCATCGCTTTCCTTCCTTGAGCCAAACAGTAACACCACTCGTTCTTAAAGCCTCAGAACCAAAGTACGACTCTCTGACACTGGCTACCTTAGAAATTTCAATCTCAGCCGCTACAAGGACCAAAGGAGAGGGAGGCGCCCCGTAACATTACGTAAGGGTAAGTGGTGGTTTCGGCGTGTTATAATAACCCAGTGGTTAACAGGGCCACACACTCTCAAAAGGAAGCGGGTACTAAGCGCAAACCACAGCCGGGGAGGAATGGAAGACGATTTTCTGTCCGGAGGACAGGAACCCCTTCCCATCCTCCCCCCGCCCCCTGCCGACCCCGCCCCGGCGGCGCGCGGGCTTGAAATCCGCCCTCCCGCCAGCAGGCGCCGCGTCCAAGCCGCTCCCCGCGTCCATCGGCGCTACCTTTCCTCTTCTTGGCCAGTGTGGCCTCCACAGGTAGAGGCCCGACCCAGCGCTCTTCGTTCTCCTCGTCATTCTCTTGGGCTCCCGCTACGACCACCGCCAACTCTCTCTCGCTCGGTTCGGATTTTTCTGGATCTTCTGGGTCCCGGCGCCTTCTCCGCCTCGTTGGGGGATCGCTACCGCTTTCCGCCGCCATGTCTGACTCGTCAGGAAAGGCGCGACCCAGGGTTCGGGCGACGGGTTCCAGATTATCGGCTCAGGCCTTTGGCGTCATCTCCGAAGTGAGCCTCTGGATTGGTCGTGGGGAAGAGCCAATCAGCGAACAGCGCGCGCCGGAGTCCCGTGACCCACAGCCGAAAAGCCGTTAAAACCGAGCGGCGAGCGGCGGAGTCGCCCAGAACGTTCCGCTCGCGGCGGTGTGCGGGTGAGATACGGTGTTGGGGAGAACGCCTGAGCCGTTGGAAGCTTTTCCGCGGGGGGCAGGCAGTTTGCAGGGTCCGGAGCTTCTGCCGGGGCTGCGGGAGCCTAGCTGGGGATACCGAACGGCCTCTTGGGCCCTGGAACGGCGCGGGTGCAGGGGGCGGGGCTGGTGGGAGCCGAGGGGCCGGCAGGTTCCCTGCGGGCTCTGAGGAACTCTTCTCTTCCGAGCTCCTTTATTCTCTCCGGGGGAGAAGGCGAACTAACGCCCCTTAGTGGTTTCCGGGAGAGAAAACCAGCAGGAGCCCGCGGCCAGGCGCCCCCCCCCCTCACCGCGCCCCCAAGTTCCCCGCTTTGGTAGCAAGCGGCCTTTCCCCCCAGCAGGCCGGAGGACTGGAGGCCCGCCCCTCTCCCTGGTGCTGGGGAGTGAGCCGGGGCTTGTAGAATGCCATCTGCCCAAACGACCTTCCTTCCTTGGAAGGTGCAGATCCCGAGCCCTACCATGAGGCCAGTTCAGGCACAAAGTTAGCCATCCAAACTGGTGGTGGTTATGGCTGTGATTCTTGCTATGTCAGAGGTGCAGGTAGGAAGATGGGGGTTGAGGCTAGCTGGGCAAACGAGGCCAGATGGTATCTGAAAAATAGCTAATGGGTAAGGGCTGCCCGGGAAGGGGGTGTGTGTGTGCCTCTAGTGCCTGCGAGGTAGAGTTCAAAACCTAGCTTCTTCCAAATTGACATCTTGTTTTCTTTCAGAAAAAGAGAAAAAGCAGTTGAAACTTTGTATGCAAGAGCCTGTGATTGCCTATTTCAAACCAGGAAAAACTGTCTTGTTTACTTAGGCTTTGGTAGTCAATTTTCTTGTTTAAGAAGCTACTGACCTGTCCTCATGTCTAGTCTGCTTGCTCTAGTCAAATAACTTTTGTATATCATGTTTGTCTTACCCATTCTTATATCCTGTTTTTTGTTTTTATGCCTTGAAAACATCTCTACATCAGTATAGCTTATACTTCCAGCTTCTGGTCTTTGTGACAAGCCTGGTAATAGTAAAGAGACAGTGCTAAGGGTCGTAGTGTAGGGATCTAATAAACATTTACTAAGCTTTATTACGCACTGGCCTTATTCTTCCAAGTAAGTTTCTCTAACCTTCACTATTCTGAATTCTCAAGATAACTTACCACAAAGCACCTCTAGCTGGCTGAAATAATTTGACGGTTCAGTTTCTGTCTCTTTATAAGAATTTTAGCTTCACAAGGGCAGACACTTTTTCAACTACACATTGTTAGTTATGCTGTGATTAATGGTTCATATGAGGAACCATTTTTAATAAGTGAATATAGCTTAGAATACATAAAAACTTTAATGTTTAATGTTAATGTTATTAACACTAATGAATATTAATATTTTCCTGGTGAAAAGTGTGCATGTAAATTGGTATGGCATAATATTCCTAAACATAGTGATGTTCTTCAAGTGATTATGTATTCTAATCCTAACGAGGATTTCTAAAGTTGACCTGTATTATTTTTTCTTAGGAAGATATATTTAAAGATATAAAACGTGAGAAAAGGATAAAGGTAAACTCCTAAATGTGTTTAGGTGTATGTGGTTTGTTTTTTTGGGGGGCTGTCGTGGGGCCTGACCTCTGGGGCCTGGGTGCTGACCCTCAAGCTCTCAAGGCTAGCTCTCTACCACTTGAGCCACAGCACCACTTCCAGCTTTTTCTGTTTATGTGGTCCTAAGGAATCGAACTCAGGGCCTCATGCATGCAAGGCAAGCACTCTACCACTGAGCCACCTTCCCAGTCCTGGTGTATGTGTTTTGAAGTAAACAAATTTACTTCTGAAAGGTCTGGATACTGGAAGTCTGAGATCAGCACATCATCATTTTCTGATTCTTCTGACAGTAATTTTGCAGGTGGCAGACAACTGACTTGTGTGCTCCGGTGTGGAAAGAATAAATGTTAATGTTCTTATTTGTATATGAATGCTGCGTCATAGGCATACAGTTTTATAATTTTGCATACTGATAAAATTATTTTACATCAATTTCCTACCATACGGAAAAAGATCATTTCACACTTATGAGTTAAGGTGTATTAAAAGCAAATATTTATATAATTTATTATAGAATAAAATATTTTATAATTGTAAATTACAAGTTCTTGGCTTTATTACAGTTAGGTAAAGAACATATTTTATGTAAAGATTTTCAGATATGACATCAGTTACTTATATGGTCTAGCTACATTCATATTAATGATGTTCATGGTTAACAGTGATATAATTATTTGATAGATACAGATCAGACTTCATATATACTAGCTCATTCAATTATCATAACCCTATGGGATATTTATTTTTATTTCACAGATAAGAAATTGACTCAGAAGTAAATATTTTTGTTTATTTGTATGCTAATGATTGTCTAAGGTACCATAGTTGTTCAGTATCAAAGTTGGGATTTAAACCTAGACAGTTTGGTGTAGAGTTCATATCTGTAAAGTTTTTTTTTCAGGTAATGTCATTTTTTCTTTTTTGTTTATGGGGTGCTGGGGAATCGAACCCAGGGCCTCACGCATGCAAGGCAAGCGCTCTTATCACTGAGCCACCTTCCCAGCCCCATGGCATACTTGTATATAGTTATAAGCATGTCTGTAGGATTATTCCTAGAAGAAGAATTTCTATGTCAGAAAAACAGGGCAAGGGCTGGCACACTGGCCAAACTGGGGAGGGGGGGGGTGGTCAGAGGAGAGAAAGACCAAGCTAGACAGGGTAGCTCCAGGCTCTAATTATAGCTACTTAGGATGCAAAGATGGAGGATTGAAATTTGAGGCAAACTTGGGGATAAAAAGTTTAAATCATTCCATCATAACAAGTGGCTGGGTGAGGTGATACATGCTTGTTACTCTAGCTTTAGGGGAAGCACAATGGCTGCTGGGTGCCTTGGTGAGTGCTTGCCATCCCCATCCACATGGGGAAGCACAAGTAGACAGACCGGAGCCCAAGACAGCCTGATAAAAAGTTAGACCTTACCTTAAAAGTTATTAACACAAAAAGGAACTAGAAGCATGGCTTACGTGGTAGAATATGGTTAAGACTTGAGTTCAGTCTCCAATACTGTTGCTTATTCTGTGAGTAGTTGGGTCTCCTTCCATATGCTTGACTATACTGTTTCTTATCAAATTTTATATTGTTGTAGTCTGAATAAATACTAAAACTTGTTAATTTGCATTTTTGTAAAATATAGGTGCTTAGTTATTTTTGTGCATTTAAAAGTTAATTTTTCTTTGAATTCTCCATTTATGGCCATTACCCACTTTTTTTTTTTTTGGGTGTGGTCGTGGGGCCTGAAATCTTGGTCTGGGTTCTGTTCTGGGTTCTGTCTCTCAGCTCTTCAGCGCAAGGCTAGCACTCTACCACTTGAGACACAGCGCCACTTCCAGCTTTTTTTCTTTTTGCTTATGTGGTGCTGAGGAATAGAACCCAGGACCTTATGCATGTGGCAAGTGCTCTACCACCGAGCTACCTTCCCAGCCGAACCCACTTTTGTTGGGTTGTTTTTGTTGTTTACTGTAAAGTAAAATTCAGACACAAAAGATTGCATGTATTATAAATGCCTGGTTGAAGGATTATTATAGCCTTTCCCCCTAAAGTAATTGATGGTCCCTTTGATGGGAATCACTTCCTTAGGTTTTTTTTGTTTTTTGTTTTTATTTTAAATGGTGGTTGGTTGGTCTTACAGGCATTCATTATACATTAAGGAAATTGGTCTTGGTTGCTGTATTTATTTCTATGAGTTTTTTTTTAGCTTTCACATATAGGTGATAATGTGTTATTTGTTTTTACATATTGCTGCAAATAACAGCATTTCATTCTTACGTTGAAACATTTCATTTATTCATCTGTTTATAAGCATCCATATCTAGTCTACTGTATTTAGAGCTGCAGTAAACATGAGAGAGTACAGTTATCTCCTCAACATACGAATGTTCTGTCCTTTGGATATATACCTCATATTGGAGTTGTAAGATCAGACATTAGTTCTTTTCTATTGTCTGGATAAATGTACATAATGTCTATACTCACTTATTAAAATCTAGGAATACTATATTAATATTTTCCTTTAGAATGAAGGATTTTTGTCTATGTTGATCTTTGCTGTATTTTACCTAGATGAGTATCTGACAGGTAATGTGTTCAATAAATAATTCTCTTTTTTTTTGTGACCACCTTTTTTTATTCTTGAAAGATCTTTCTCCTTAGTTAAAAAAAATTTTTTTTTAACAATGTAGAATTTGGAGCTTGGAGGTAACACTATAAGTTATAAGCAGTGAAATGCTTAGGAATCTCCACGACCTTTACTATTGTTAATTTGTATTTATAATTCATTTCTTTGCATAGTGACTACAATCCTGCTATTAATTCACACGATACTCAGCAAACAAATACCTTGTATACTGTATCAGAAACATCCTCATCCATATGTTTCATATCAATAAATAAATCTTAAATGAATACTTTTTATTTTAGTTTTTCCTTTAAGGCTAAGAAAAATCACCAAGGATATGTCTGTGGTTGAGCAAGATCTAGATCCAGATAGTACTACAGGTACAGAATTTGTTATAGATTCTGAAGAAGAACTTATTAAAGAATGTGAAGAACTCTGGAAAGATATGGAAAAAGTAAGTATCAAAAGATAAAATTGATTTGTCAGGTGTTACAATATTTACATGAATTTCAGTACCAATTATGGTTAGGAAGGAAATAATTTTGCTGGTTCTCCAAAGCTGTTATGATATGTGATAATTGTATAGGTTTTAGACCTATAAAAACTTACTCAAAAAGCATATACAAAATCAGCTATTGAAAAAGGAAAAATTGTGGTAGTTTCTGCTCTTGAGATAATTACCTGTGTAGGTAAGATAATTATATTGTATATAATACAATATTAGAAGTGTTAGTCTGGGCGTCAGTGGCTCATGCCTTTAACCCTCGCTACTCAAAGAGGTTAAGGTCTGAGGATTATGGCTCAAAGCTGGCAGGAAAGTTTGTGAAACTCTTATCTCCAGTTAAATCACAGAACAAGCCAGAAGCTGGTCTGTGGCTCAAGTGGTAGAGTGATAGCCTTGAGCAAAAGGAGCTCAGGGACAATGACCAGGCCCAGAATTCAAGCTTCAGGACTTTGGGCAAGTCAAAAAAAAGTGTTGGAGTAGAAATGCAATTTGAAGAATTTAAAACTCTTAAGTAGAGTTTTAATGGAGGGGCTGGGAAGTTGGCCCAGTGGTAGAGCACTTGCCTTGCATGCCTGAGGCCCTGGGTTTGATTCCTCAGCACCACATAAGCAAAAAGAAAAAAGCCAGAAGTGGCGCTGTGGCTCAAGTGGTAGAGCGCTAGCCTTGAGCTGAAGAGCTGAGGGACAGAGCCCAGGCCCAGAGTTCAGACCCCACGACCGGACCCCCCAAAAAAAAAGTTTTAATGGAAATGTAATTAGGAGAAAGTCTTGTTAAATGAAACTGAAAAAGGAGGAACACAAAGGATTTTGTTGAATGTATACTATGAGAAGCCATTGAAAGATTACGAACACAGAATTGGCATGACAATCAAAAAATTATTCTGAAAGCTTTGAAGAAAATAATGCAGAAGAGTGAGGTCACAGGTAGAAGTTTAGGAAGCTTGAATAGTAGTCCTGTTAAGTAATTTAGGTGCCCAGTGCAGTGGCTATAAGCGTAAGTTTATAATCCTATGTACTTAGGAAGCATAGAACTGGGAATTGTGATTCTAGGCCAACCCAAGCAAAACAAATTCTCCATCTCAATTAGGCTGGGTGCAGTGTCACACAATTGGTCATCTCCAATAACAAGGAAGCACAAGTACAATGATCACAACTCAGGTGATAATGGCATAAAGTGTGACTCTACCTAAAAAATGAGTGCAGAAAGGGGCTGGAGACATAGTTCATGTAGTAGAGTGCCTGCCTAGCAAATGTGAGTACCACTCTCCCCTTCAAAAAATAACAGAAATAATGAAGGCGTAAATCACTGTCAAGCTGCACAGGAGACTGAGGTCTGAGAATAAGTCAACTCAACTCAGGCAGGAATGCCCTAAGACTCTTATCTCCAATTAGCTATCAAAAAGCTGGAAGTAGAGGCATGGCAGAGCATCAGTCATGAGTGGAAAAGGCCAAGCATGAGGTCAGAAGCCCTGAAATCAGTCTAGTACCAGCGCCCCCCCCAAAAAAAGAAAAAAGATAGGAAAGTGATAGAACCAGAAGTACATAGAAGTTAGTGAAGAGAATGTAGAGGAATTAAATTGCCAAGGATGATATTTTAGGTCCATAGATTGGACCAATGTGTGGTTGGGAATTAGTTTCTAAAATAGAAAATACAGAAGTGTGGAAGCAACATATCCTTATGAGTAGAAACATGAATTTGTAAGTTTGAAATGTAGATGTAATTCTGTTATAATGAGATAGAACCAGTTTTTGTGTACAATATTTCTGTAAAACTTTGTTAAACTTAAAATAGCAGTGTATAATACAGACCACAGGTAGTTTTTACATCCTCTTCAGTAAAGATTTAGAGCAGAGCATTATTAAGCAGTCTTTTTTAAAGAAAAATTTTAGCTGAAATCTTGGTACTCTGTATCATTATTGTATTAACTAGATAATTTGTCTAATCCTTTTTTGGTATTTTTTTCAATATAGAAATTTGGATTTAAAAGTAACATTTTAAAGAAAAGCAGGACACCTTAGCTCACTCTCCTATAAGCGTGGCTACTTGGGAGGTATAGAAATCAGATGATCATGGTTCCAGACTAGCCAGGCAAAATCATTCATGAGGTTCCTCTCAACAAGTGAAAACTAGGCTAGCAAATACCTTTCATCTCTATTATATCAAGAGTAATTAGCAGGATTAATAGAAGAATTGTGGTCTTGGGCAACCCAGGTAAGGCTGTGCCCTAAAAATAACCAAAACCAAAAAGACTTGGGGGGGTGATTCAAGCAGTAAAGCACCTGCTTAGCAAGTGCAACATCCAGAGTTCAGTCCCTAGAACTACAACTCCAATAACAAAAAAGTTTTTACAAATATTACAACTAGAAACAAGATTAAGATTACTCATTTTTTACCTCTAAGATATTAAGGGTTTTGGTTGTTTTTAATGGCACAAAAACAAAATCTCTTCAAGGCTTTTTTTCCTTATGATTTTAGTTTCTCACATACTTCATTATTTTTCTTCAATACTTTCCCTCTTATTTCCTCCCTTATGTAGCTTATGAATCAAATTAGCTCTTTTTCTTTTATTACAGTATTGCTCCTTTTTTCTTTTTGTTTGTATTCACTTCCACAGACTCTTTTTTGTTGTTGGTGGTAGTGGTGGTCATGGGGCTTGAACTCTGGGCCTGGGTGCTGTTCTTCAGCTCAAGGCGAGTGCTCTACTGCTTGAGTCACAGTGGCACTTCCGGTTTTCTAGTGGTTTATTGGAAATAAGAGTCTCATGGACTTTCCAGCCTGGGCTGGCTTCGAACTGTGATCCTCAGATCTCAGCCTCCTGAGTAAATAGGATTTCAGGCATGAGCCATTGGACCTGGCTCGACAGACTCTTAAATCAGGTATTTGTATGTTATGGAGGAATATTAAATTGAAGTGGAATAGTGTAGGTTATAGTGTTTAACTATTTTTTTTCTTTTTAAATTAAGTGTCAGAATAAATGGTCGCTTATTGGAACTGAGACACTCACTAATTCAAATGCACAGGTATGAACCTTTTTTTCTCTTGCTGAAAAATAGGTACGTGTAATTCATTCTTTTTGGGAAAGGATATCTATTTACATATGTTCCAAATATAATAGTTAATACTTGTGCTATCAGTTTAAAAAAATCCTACTCTTTTCAATAAAAGAGTTGGAAGACCTAAAGTATTTTGGACTGGGCCTGGGCACTGTCCCTAAGCTCCTTTTGCTCAAACTAGCACTTGTACCACTTGAGCTATAGCACTACTTCTAAAGTATTTTGGAACAAGTTATAATTTTAAAAAAAGGCAAATTTAAAATTACTAGTCATATATATATTTAACAATTGAGTGATTTTTTTGTGGTTTCTTACTAGGATAAGCTGTAAAAAATTAGAGCATTAAAAATAAATTAGAGCAGGTATCTTTTTTTTTTAATTGTGAAAATACCGTTCAGAGGGGTTACAATTACATGGGCAAGATAACGAGTACATTTCTTATCAAGCATTGTTGCCTCCTCCTTTGTTTCCCCTTCCCATCCCTTCCCATGCCCCCCCTCTTCCATAAACCTCCCCCCCACCAAAGTTGTAAAGTTCGTTTTTCGACATAATGACTTGTATATCTCATTGTTGCAATGGGTCCACCTGTATCCC